CCCCAGGTTTCACTGTGTAGTTTTGGCCTAGAATTCAATACGTAGACCTGTTTGGCTTGAAACTCTCAGCCAGCTGCCTGCCTCTGCCTCCCGAGTGCTGGGGTCAAAGGCGTGGGCCACCACTCTCAGATAAACCTATGGCTTCTTTAGAAGTCATTGCCTCATGCTAACAATTGAAGTTGCATCCACTTAGTACATTAAATAGAAAGCATCACATCTGGATTGAATACTCAGTCAAATGAATTAGGATTAAAAAAAAAAAAAATCTCTGGTTCAGTGGTTAAAAGCCCTTGATGATCTCACAGAGGACCTTGGGTTCAATTCCCAGCACCTACATGGAGGTTCACAATCGTCTGTAATTCCAGATCCAGGCATCCAATGCCCTATCTGGCCTCCTTGGGCACTGCATGCACACAGTGCACAGACATATGAAGGCAAAACATTCATACCTAGAAAATACTAACCTTAAAAAAGAATCTTGCCGGGCAGTGATGGCGCATGCCTTTAATCCCAGCACTCGGGAGGCAGAGGCAGGCAGATCTTTGTGAGTTCGAGGCCAACCTGGGCTACCAAGTGAGTTCCAGGAAAGGCACAAAGCTACACAGAGAAACCCTGTCTTGAAAAACGAAAATAATAATAATAATCTTAAACAATACATATTCTCTCCTATATAAAGCAAAAATAGCCAGCTAGCATTATGATATCATAGAACTTGAAATGCTTCAAGTCCTGTAAGCCAATCACTTTCCTCAGCACCAGTTTCCGAGAGACCCCTTTACTCCACAGGCCCGAATACTTTTCCATGGTATACATCACTTCACACTCAGGACTTAGTGCCCTGCACAACTCCCAGAGTCACCAAGGTAGCAAGAAGAACTTCCAGTGTTTTGTTGAAATTCACTTTATTAAAAAAACAAAAACAAAAACAAAAAACCTCATGAACAATAAATTACAATACTTTCCCCCTTTATAAATTCTTCATAAAATATATTTGACAATTTTAAAAGAAAAATTTTAAAGTTGCTTTCATTTCTGATGTGCCTATGACATCGTTTTTTGACTATTTTGTCATGCTGGTGAATTATTTTGTAGCTGCTACAATAGTTTGATTGGTAACATTTTACAATTAAAAACAACAAAGAAAAAACAGAAACAGAAACAGAAACCCAGACCTGCAGAAAGAACTATTCTGTGCTATTATTATCTGACACTGAACACTTACTTCATCCAAATGACAAAGTATCCCTTAGCACCAAGAATCTACAGAACCCATGTTTCTAAGTGACATCTAGTGTAAAGAAACATCCTAGAACTAACTGTACAACCTACAGTGACTGGACACAGCTGCCTAGAAGCTTTATTGGAAATATTTGGTCTTTTTCAATTAAGACAAATTTCATAAAACACTAGAAACCATGGCAACGGACTATGAGGAATAACTGTTTATTGAGTACCTATTATGGGCAAGGCACTGTGCACAATTTCTTGATTGCATTTTTCTTTTAGCAAATATCCAAAATTTCCAAGTATCACTCATCATCTTTATTCCTTACATGTGACCAGAGAAAGTGCATGGCTAAATGCCATTTTTTTTGAAAAAGGTTTACTTTTATTTTTTTTAATTATGTGTGTGCCCATGGAAGCAAGAGGATACTGGATCCCTTGGAGCTGGAGCTAGGTGGTTGTGTGCTACCCACCATGGGTGCCAGGACCTGAACTCCGTTCTATGCAAGAGCAGCAGGTCCTCTAAATTGCTGAGTCGTCTCCAGCCACCCCTCCACTGCAAATCTTAAATTGTTGTCCTATCAACTAAACCTTAGTGCTGAGCACACAGTAGGTACTTAATCAATACCTCTGACTGAAAAAGAAGAAAGACAAAGAAATTACTGTCCTTTTGTTGATATCATAAGCTATTTTAGAATACAAGGACTTGAGAACAGTCTGGAAAAAATTTCCTGATCCTCCCACACCCTTACAGCTAATGATGGAAAGAACTGTATTTCACAGGTAAAAATCTTTCAAAATAAATTATAACTGTGGCTAGACATGTAGCTCAGTGGTAAAGCCTTTGTGTGGCACATGTAAGGCTCTGGTATGATCCCAGTACCAACTGAAACAAAAGACAAACCAAATTACACATTATTTTCAAGGAGACAGGATCAACGCTATGTGCTTAGGACACGGGGGCTTCAAGTGCACAGGTATTTGTAGAGCAAGTGAACTGTTGGCACACATCATGTATCAGTCTGATGGAGTGCCAAGTCATTGATAATACGTTATAATGGGACTTTTTCTCATTTCCTGGAACTCAATCCCCTGGTCAGATCTGTGTCAACGTGGTGTTCTAGAGGGTCAATTACCATGAAGTTCCAATACACTTCTCTTTCAGAAAGAATTCTTTTAGTTAAGTCTGCAAGTGATATTAGGTGTATGTGACTTTTTTTTTTCATTTGATGAGATTTTAATAAAGCCTTTCAGTTCATGTTTTTAAACTTCCAGATTAAATCAGTCTAGAAGTTTTACATGTTCTATTTTTTGGTGTTTTATCTTTTATTACCCTCTGAACACATTTTATTTATTGACTTACTGATTTTTATGGTGCTAGGGACTGAATCCAGGGCCTCATACATGCCAGGCAAGTGCTCTCCACTGAGCTTCTCCTGCCCTACCATGAAGGCGTGGAGGCTCAAGCGCTGAGGAGACAATGAGACCTGCTGATAATGGCAACATGCTGGTACTCTTTTGATTTTTGCATCTTAGTGCTTTATAAAGATCCCAGAGGGGTCAGTGTCAGACTGCTTCCCTAATATGCCCAAGGCCCAAGGTTCTACCCCAGCCCCAGAAGTGGGATCTAGTGCTTCATAAAGCTTCATCTAGATACAAGGGTAGGAGGATCTGATTCATCTCAGAGACTGATACTCTAGTTCAGGAACGACTCTTTTCCTCAGTTTCCTGCATTAGCATGAACAATCTGGAGACAAGCATGCAGTTAGAATTTCACTTCAGGAGGAGTTAGGAGTCTCTCGCTTCCTCACAGACAATGCCAGGTGACCACATGAAGCTGACCATTTTTCTACTCGAAAAGCAGTTGATGGCATAGAATTTTATCCATTTGCCAAACTCTGGATGCATCATCTCTCACTTTGGAAAAAAGCAACCAATATTTATGACAGTGATTACCAGTCCCATTACTGTCTCACAGGAGACAAGAGAAAACAGCATCAGGGCCAAAGTGTCAGGGACTCCAGTGATCCAACAGGACGCCACATCAGGGCCAGCCACTTGAGGGTGAGCTCATTGGTTTCTTCAACTTTATGCTGAGACTTAGTACAAGTCTTAAAACTTGAAACTAACACATCAAGTATTACAGTCGTGGAAAGCAATGTTTTTAGAACAGAAGAATACCATCCTCAGGTCACGGCTGAGGCTTAAGCACACAACGTCCCAATGCAGTGGTTTAATTAAACAGACGCTCAGTTACCTAAAGGTATGACTGGGCCATCGGCATCCTTGCCGACCTTCTACCATGTGACTGAATGACTAATCAACTCGAAGAGCTACAGGACCCTGGAGAGCTCAGACGTACTCCAGCAGCTTGGACAGCTTAGCTTCAATTATGTTTAATCAGCCATTTTAGACCCTTCAAAATGATGTCTTTAAAAATAGATGTATACCGGGATAAAAAAAAAAAACAACAGACAAATACCCTCAGCACGTTTCCCGGAGCAGGAGGGGCAGGGAAGAAGAAGAAGAAGGTGGTTTTGTGTAGTTTTCGTCAGCAATTTCACCAGCAAACCTCAAAAACCCAAACCTCTATCAAATAATTTAAACAGAAGTGGCATTTTCTTCATGTGGAATGCAAAATGCACACATTCACATACTTACATATACATAAATATATACATATATGTTTCCTTTACAAAGCTTCAAAGGTCGCATTACCAGCATGCAAACCTCTTCTTCCATGGAAATGCCTAATACTGACAAGGAATGTCTAAAATACTTAAAGACATATTTCCAGAAAATTGGACTTTCTTCTCTGCTTGGCTCTTAAGAGAATTTTTTCTGCCAAACTTTTACCAATGATCATTAAAAAAAAATTTTTTTTTACACCCACATTGGTAATACACATTCAAAACATACAATAAAATGGCCTGCATGGAGTAAGAAAAACGAGAGAAAAAAATTACCCCACAATAAAACCTAAACCCTTGAGAGTGGAGAATAACTTTCGTCTTCTTTTCGGCCACATAATGTTGAATCACTGTTGAATCAGAAGCAGCATGTCATCGAAGATGCTTGCAAGCAGGAGGTCACGTTTCCCAGCTGCTGTCTTTAAATGCAATTTGGACTAATCTGAGTTCTAGTTCAAACGCATCCGGACGATCCTGAGGGTTTGCAGCCAGCATTTCCTTAATCAATTGTTTCATTCGCCCGTTCATAGACTTTTTCTTCACAGGGATGAGAAGTTCCATCTTGGGATTTTCCAGAAGTGCTTCCCCAACAGGCACGATTTCGGTCCCCTGCTTTACATAGCTCCCTAGGAGCTCCTTCTTTGTCTCTGTGTCTATGAAGGTGATCCTCTCCAGCATCGCCCAGATGATAATTCCCAGAGCAAAAATGTCAGCTTTGGCTGTATAGTGTCCTTCCCATACTTCGGGAGCCATGTAGAAATCCGTTCCACATGCCGTCGAAAGGAAACACTTGTTGACGCTGACAGGTTCTTCTGGGTTCTGCCCAGATGCTGAACACACTTTACTTAGACCAAAATCGGCCACTTTCAGTGTAGGTTCCAAGTCACTGGTATCCAACCTGCTTTGAGAAATCAGGATGTTATCAGGCTTCAGGTCTCGGTGGATGATCTGGTTTTTGTGCAAGAAAGCCAGAGCACTGCTGAGCTGAAGCATAAAGCTGGTGTTAGTCTTTCGATTGGGCTTCCTGGATAACAGATACTCATTCATGTCTCCTCCATCACAAAAATCCATCACAAACCACAAATAATAGGCGCTTCTGGGATCAAAGGCAATTTCTCCTTTTAATGAAGTCTCTACAAGCTGTGAAGAGGCAGAAGGAGGAGAAGTTGTTACAGAATTTGACTATTGGAAGGTTAAAGGGGCAGGAAATACAGCTCCGTGGCTATGAGCTTACTGCCCTCAGAGGACCGGAGCTCAGGTCCTCAGCACCCACATCAGTGGCTCACACTGCCTGCAACAATAGCTCCTGGGGATTCAATACTTTTCTGGCCTCTGAGGCACCTGCACTGACACATATATTACCCCTGCCCAAACACAATTAAAGATTAATAAATCTTTTGTTTTTGTTTTTCGAGACAGGGTTTCTCTGTGTAGCCCTGGCTGTCCTGGAACTCACTCTGTAGACCAGGCTGACCTCGAATTCTGAGATCTGCCTGCCTCTGCCTCCCCAGTGCTGGGATTGAAGGCGTGCACCACCACACTTGGCTATACATCTTTAATATATATATAAATATACATATATATACATACATATATACATATACACATATATATTAAAAGGGGTGGTGGTGCACCCCTCTAATCCCAGCACTCAGGAGACAGAGGAAGGCAGAATCTCTGTGAGTTTGAGGACAACCTCAGTTACACAGAAAAACTCTGTCTTGAAAAAACACACACACAAAAAAAGGGCTGGAGAGATGGCTCAGCAGTTAAGAGTACTGACTGCTCTTGAGTATAAACACACACACACACACACACACACACACACACACACACACACACACGTCAGAGGGTAACCCTGAGGATGAAAGGCAGGTTGACAGGCCTGCAGCCAAGTGTCTCTACCCACTGAGCCATCTTGTTAGCCCAAGCTTTAACTCTTTATGTAGAAATAAGCAGGCACATTCACTTTATTTGTGTGTAAATTTGCTTCCGACTTTAATAAAAGGTAAAATTATATGTATACCAAAGGATTGCTTTAAAATGAATTTATTTAGGATTCATGACCAGTACATGCTTATTTGTAGGTCTGTTTTACACACCTACATACCCAGGGTCATGCACATGTTTCCCTGGGGAGAGGTCATGAGTGGAAGGATTAGAATGCTCTGCTCTGCACTGAGGTAAGTCCAGCTCCAGCCTCCAGCTTTAACTGGAAACCTCAGAAATATTTTATTGCATCAGCGCTTTTAGACATGCATTTAAAAAATGGTTTCCAGCACTTCAGGATGCCACCTTTGTTCCAAATGAATACAAACTAAATTTCTGAGCCAAGAAGTGACATTTTTAAGTAGCTGTATTTTGGAAAGTGCCCAACCGGCCTACATTTTCTACATAGGTCAATTCTACCACCTTCTAGCGCATCACTTCATGAAAAGACTACAATAGAGGACTATTGCTTTTAAATAATTTGTTTTATGGTGTCTTTTTAGATTGGTGGGTCAAAAGGGGAAGATCAGAGTTGAGCTGGTAAAGAATGAGTAACTGATAATTTTATATTTAAGTTAATTACTATTACTACTTCTGGTTATTCTGGCAAAAGCCAAGAACAGCCCTTCATTCTGTCTCCTGTGGCAAAGGTCTACAGGAGTCTCCTTTTAGCATGGTGTGCAAAGAGAAGGAAACACATGTGTTCTGTTTCTTTCCTTTTTTTTTTAAGGTTTGTTTTTATTTTATGTGCATGTATGTGTGGGTGAGGATGCCCTGGAATAGGAGTTAACAGACAGTTGTGAGCTGTCATGTGGATGCTATGAATTGAACCCAGGTCCTCTGGAAGAGCAGCCAGTGCTCTAACCACTGAACTATCTCTCCAGTCCCCATGTGTACTGTTTCTAAGTAACTTAAGTTTTCTATCTTTCCCTAAAATGCAAACTTAATAAATAGCTCTTGTAATGCAGAATCCCAGTACTCAAAGAGTGGTTTATAAGGCAGGCATGGAGGTGCACATAATACTGGCCAGCAAGAAGGGAAATGTATAGCTCTCACCCACTTATTTAGATAATGATTGTTGGACTCTCTAAGTTTTAAATAGCTCTTTTTTTAACTCCCTAGATAGGGTCTCACTCTGTACCTCAGGCTGACCTTGAACTCTATATGTAGCCCAGGCTGGCCTTTAACTCATGATAATCCTTCCTCAGTCTCATATGTGTCAGGATTATGTGCACCACACCCAGTCAGTTCATAATTCTTAAACCACAAGATAAATCAGATTCCCTATTATATAGTTCCACTAGTCTGAAATATACAGACTGGAGCCTGCATAGTCCTTGTGCTTGAAATTGAGCCCTTGTAACTGTTTTACATTTTCTCTTGGATAAGGATTTTAGCTATCAGGAACTGATTTAATGGTTCCAACTGAGAACAAAGAAGAATATATCTAGAAAAACATATGGAAAAAGTGAGAATATATACAGATAATAAAGACCATGCATAGGAATTTTCTGGTTACATTATAGATTTGTGTATTGACTATATTGTACTGTATTCTTTAGATACAATTCTATTGATAAATATATGGTCAACTATGCTGGGTGAAGTAGTACATGTCTTTAATCTCAGCACTCAGAGGTGGAAACAGGTGGATCTCTGTAAGTGTGAGGCCAGCCTGGTTTACATATTGGGTTCTAGGCTAGCCAGAGCTACCTAGTGAGACTGTCTCAAAAATAAATGAATAATAAATAAATAAATAATAAATAAATGAAAATAAAGAAAAATCTGGCTAACTTATAACTCCGCAGAAAAGACTATTTTATTTCAACACAGGTCCCTATTTCTGAGTTATGGCCAAATCCTGTTTCAGCATCTCCTCTTCTTTGACAGTGCCCACACAGCTACTAGGAAAGATGGATTATTTATTTCAAGTCATTCTGATAACAGAAAGTGACATAAATCAAATACAGGTCTACACGGTTTTAAAGAGCGAATGAGATTTACTAAGAAAGGCAATTTCAATATGGGAAGGGCTTAGTCAAATCTGGTACTTCCTATCTTAAGAGCTCCAAGTACTAAACAATACCTAATTCTTGTTACAGTTGCTAGATCTGGACTTTGCACTAAGTCAAATGTGCTAACATCTTCACTTTTCCATCCACAGGGATTGGATACCTTTATCTCTAAAACTCAGTGCAAAATTGACAACGGTTAGGATGGGATGTTGTTTCTGTAGTACGCCCCAAACCCTAGGCTCAATCTCTAACACTGGCAAAAAAAAAAAAGAGGAAAGTTTCCAATCTTTTTCGAGACAGGGTTTCTCTGTGCAGTGTAACAGTCCTGGCACTCATTCTGTACATCTGCCTGCCTCTGCTTCCCAAGTGCTGGGATTAAAGGTGTTCCACCCCTGCCTGGCTCCAATATTTCTTTTTATTTATTTATTTATTTATTTATTTATTTATTTATTTATTTATTTATTTATTTATTTATTTGGTTTTTCGAGACAGGGTTTCTCTGTGTAGCTTTGCGCCTTTTCCTGGAACTCACTTGGTAGCCCAGGCTGGCCTCGAACTCACAGAGATCCTCCTGCCTCTGCCTCCCGAGTGCTGGGATTAAAGGCATGCGCCACCATCGCCCGGCTATTTCTTTTTTTTTAATCATGATATCTTAAATACTTTTAGAAAGGTAGACAATAATGAAGATATTTTTTTAAAAACTTTAAAGTTATGTATTTTGTGTATGTGTGGGTGCTACAGCAAACTCGTGGAGGTAAGACAATAACTTTTAGGAGTCCGCTCCCTTTTTCTATCATGTGGGACTTGGGAATTGAACTCAGGTTATCAGACTTGAAAACAAGCTCCTTTACCCTCTGAGCCTTTTCAACACCACAAAAATCTTTTACCGTTATTATCTCTGAATTGTTAAATTACACTTATTATTTTATGTGGTTTAGTGCTTACGTGTGTGTACGACACTGCAAGTGTGGAGGTTACAGGACAACTTCTGTCCTGGAACCCATGATTCAGTCTAGGCTGTCTCGAACTTGATACCCAGGTGATTCTGTCTTAAACTCCTGAGCCTCCTGCCTCCGCCTCCTTCCAAGTCCTAGGATTATCGGTGTGTGCCAATATACTCATCTGAGGCTTCTCATGTTTAGACCTGTGCCTTCTAAAAAGAGAAGTCCGGTGACCTATGGGTGGAGTTGTTACTGACTGTGGTGTCTTTCCTTGTCTTCTGTGTTTATTTCCAAAAGACTTGGTTTCCAGGAACTGAACTTTGATGCTAGTCTCAAAAACTCTCTAGTTCCCATCTCGTTCCATTCCTACACAGACTGGCAAATACCAGGCCTAACAGGTGGCTTATGTTATTTTTAGGTATGTGCAGCACAAGCTTAAAGCAAATACCTCCTCTATCCTCTGAAGAGATCTATCTGCACCTAGCCATAAAACGCTTGCATTTTAAGGGAGAAGTTCACCTGACACTTTTCATTTCCTCTTGCTGACCAAAATTATGTCCATTTCCTATCCAGTGACACATACCTGTAAATAAAGGGAAGAATTAGAGCCGTGGGACATCTTTTGCACCATCCCATCTTTTTGCAGAATGCACTCTTCCAAGTGAATCACATTTGGGTGCTGGCTCTTGATACTGCTTAGTGCCCAGAACTCTCGAAGGGCTAGTTCAACATTTTCAGGTGCGTGGCATCGAATTTTCTTCACAGCTACTCTTGCAGAGGTCTTTCTGATGACCGCTTCATACACAACACCGTAACTACCTCGGCCTACCTCCCGTATTAGATCGTACTTTGGCTGGCTACTCACCATCTTCAAGGTCGAGGTTTCTGGAAAAATCAACAAAGTACTCTGTTGAAATGAGGTGTACCTATTGGCTTGTATTCTTATGCAGGATTTAACTAACTGTTTCACTGTCTGTGGTACTTGAAAGGTATGTAGCCATACCCTGGACAAATCTACCAATAATAATAAAGGTAACAGGTAACACTTACCATATATCAGGAACTATTTCAAGTACTTTAAAATTGTTCTTAAAGTTTGTGTTGTCTTTGAGACAGGGTCTTGCTAAATTCCCCTGGCCTAGAGCTTGATATGTAGGCCAGGCTGGCTTCAGAAGCCATGGTTACAGCGCCGTCATTCCTGACTTTTTTTTTTTTTTTTAATTTAATCTTGGTGTGTGAGTGCAGGCATGCCCATGCCATGACACACCTGTCTGGAGATAACTTTGGTTCTCCTGTCACTGCTGGCTAGCTGCCTGTGGACTTCTGGATGGAGACTGTTCTGTTTCTGCCTCCCATCTCCCCATAGGACATCTGGTTTTACATGGGTTCTGCTCTCTCCAGGCTCCACCCACCCACCCTCTCTTTGGACAAGGTCTCACTGTGTAACCCTGACTGGCCTCCAACTCACAGAGATAAACCTACCTCCAGTTCCCCAGTGCTAGGATTAAAGACTTGGGCCACCATGCCCTGCATCCAGCCCTTTTTTAAAAGACGGAGCTTGCTATTATGTAGCTCAAGATGGCTTTTACTTTTTAAAAGTTGTATTGCATATTTTGTATGCATGGGTGTGGCTTTGTGGAGGTCAGAGGACACTATGTGGGAGTCAGTTCTCTCTACCATGTGGGTCCAGGAGAGGAACTCATAACTAATAACTAATAACTTTACCCACTGAACCATCTCAACAGCCCTGGCTGCTTCTGTCTCTGGAACGATGGAATTACAGGTGTGTGACACCTGGCTACTTTATATTAAGTTCATTTAATCCTTAACCATAATCTGTGTAGTAAGGGACAGGTGTTGTAATGGTCATTTTAGAAGTGAGGAATTGAAACACAGAGAAGGTAAGTAAGAAGCCAGTGGCCAGGTAGCTCTTTGGCTCAGACAGCCATGATTTAAACCACTCAACTAGACTGCTTCTTACAGGAAGTGCTGGAGCATGTTACTGTTAAAAATAAACCCGACGCCGGGCAGTAGTGGCTCAAGCCTTTAATCCAAGCACTCCGGCTTTAATCTGAGCACTCAGGAGGCAGAGGCAGGCAGATCCCTGAGTTCAAGGCCAATGTGGTCTACAGAGGGAGTTCCAGGAGAGACAGAGCCACACAGAGAAACCCTGTCTCAAAAAACAATAAATAAACAAATAAACCCAAAATTCAACATTTTAATTTACTGATGATAAAAAAAGAAGAAATGTATCTACATCTCCTTAAGGTTGACACACATATGAAAGATAATAAAAACGGTGAAATGCAAAAATCCCTCACAGAACTACAAACACCTGACTTATGCTTATGGACTAAAAGTGAACAAGATCACCTTTGTTTCATTTGAGACAGTGTCTCCAATAGCTCAAGCTAGCCTTGAACTCTCACTATGTAGCAGAGGTTGATCCTCTTGCCTCCACTTTCCAAATACTGGGGTTATAGGCATGCTCCCGCATGTTTGGTTATTTATTTTTCACAAAACAAACACCAAGTTTTTGTAGGAGCACTGATCCTTAGAATGAAGTAAGCTGTTTAGGATAGAACTACCTTTACATTATCATTTGACATAGCTATTTAATTCTAGGTCATTTTTGCCAAAGGAGGGCGGGAGCATCTTATACATCTTAGGGAATTCTCTGACAAGAGTTCTTTGGAGTTCCACCTTAATAAACCATTTAGAGGCAAGCTGGAGCACCGGCCCTGGAGAGCATGTTCTTTGGAATGGAGAGCCTGCCTCGCTCCCCAAAGGCTCACTCGCCGCCGACTGTCATCGCCGGCAGGAACCTTGTCACCCGAGATTGTACTTTAACGTCGCACAATCCGAGAAACAAAAAGCGACTGACTCTGGAAGCTGGGACTCCCGGAACAACTGCTTGACGTCCACGGGCCAGGTTTAAAAAGAAAACGACCGCTTCTGGGGGCTGCCCTGAGCGCTACTTCCTCCCATTGCTCGCCGAGCCTTCAAGTTCTTACTCTATTTCCTAATGTCAGATTTCCTGCGGCCGCCGGCGGACCCGCTGCCCTGCTCTGCGCCGATCGCCAGTTCCTAGGCGCTTCCGAGGGGCTCCGTCCCGGGCAGCAGCGTCCCCGGGAGAGGGGCCCCCTCCCGGGTAAGGGAGGCAGGAAGGGGTGCATCCCATCATCCCTGGGATCCTGGAGGGACAGACGCCCCCGGGCAGCATCCTTCGCCAGCCCGTGCGCCTCACGAGGGCCCCTCCTGGCCGCTCCGGTGCCCGGCGCTGGGCACCGCCGGCCTGGACGTGCACCTGCTGGTGCCCGGGAAGGGACCGGCGAGGCCAGCGGTGCAGCCGGCGCGGACGCTCAGGCCGCGCTCACTGCCCCGGCAGCAGCAAGAGCGCTCCCGGCGGCGGCGGCGCCCTGCACCCCGAGGGACCCTCCCGCGGCCCTCCAGCGCGCTCCACAGCCGCTTCCACTCCCGGAGGCTGCAGACCAGGGGCCCGGGAGCCGGGAGTGGCCCGGGCGGGAACGGAGGCCGCAGTCCCGGCCGCTGGCCGGGGCAGCGCCGGGCCTTCCCGGGGATGACTCCGCTGAGAGGTCTGTGACAGGCCCGCAGGGGCCAGAGGCGCATGCAGGGAGCTCGCTTCTGACTGCGGGGCACCCGTGCCACGGCGAAGGGCCAGGTTTACCTCAGGGCAGCCGCCGCCGCTTCTCCCTCTCAGGAGCTCTGCAAGCCGCCATTATCGGGCAGCTCGCGCCTCGGCTGCCGCGGCCTCCAGTCAGGAGCCGGCGCGCGCCCCCGTGGTGCGCGGACACACCCCCTCACGCCGGGCCCC